ATTTTTCTTTTTTTTTTTAAATCAAAAGTGCTCTACAATGCTAATTGCTGCAACTGGAAGATAACCGTCCCTTGGAAATCAGGCTATATATGCCCTTCTCTGCCTCTCATCACTCCAACTGAGTTGCATCCACACTTGAGGGAGAATATAGGATAGTTTGAAAAATGCAAAAGCAAAGGAGAGTTCAGGTGTGATAGGAAATTTTCTCCTGTTCCTTCACTTCACCATAGTTAGCAAGATTATCTGAGGCCAGTGCATTCCAGATTACTTTAGGCTTTTCTTTTAGGACACTGGACCTACACCTGTGAACACGCTGCTAACAGTGCAAACCTGTCCAGAACGTAGACAGGCACACTTACGACATGCTCCAAGCAGCTAAGCAAAGCAACACTATAGCAGTGCTGTGTCTCCTCCCCATCTTCATGCTTCATGCCTTACTGCTTGGCATTTTTAGATTATAGTGCAGTTAGCAAAATGAGGATTAGTCTCAATTTACGTTTCTTACCCAAATATTTGCATCATTGCTTTATACTACTGCTGTTGTTATTTGTGCTCCCGGATGAAGATCACTATACTTTAGGGACTTCTTCAGACAATGGTTCTTTAAACACAACCATGCTGCAGAGCAACAAGCCAGATCTGTCAGTGCACTGTGTCAGGGACGAGGGCTGTTTTATGGTGCTACGCTCTTGACTCTGATTGAACACCCGCTCAACCTCCTGGCCTCACGGACCAAAAAAGCTGTAGGAAACTGCAGTATGTGGCACCTGCCCCTTCAGCACAGATAATGGCCTGCCTTAAAAAAAATTAACTAATGCCACCTGAACAACATTAAACTCAAAGCTCTGCTACTGTCCACAGCAGACTCTCAGAGCTTGTTCAGCCACTCAGTAAACATTGCTTGACTTGTTTAGTCTCATGATGCCAGTCCTTCAGCCTTGGAGCAGAGGACACAGTGCAAGGGGGTAGGACTGATTTGGGGATCCTGACCCCATGCAGAGCCTCAGCTCTTCCTCCCCACCTGTCTTCTCCATCTCCTGTTTTCATAACTCCCTGGGAAGAAACAGTGACATGGAGCACAGAGTCACACAAGACTTCTCAAGGGTCAATACTGTTTTGTTTCCATCTAAACATTTGTATGCTGGAAAACATAAGGTGACCATGAAAACATGAGGAAGGGGCCACTTAAGACCAGCTCTCAGGAAAGGCCAGTTAGAGCAGCTTGGTCCTGAGGGCAGGGAAACAGGTGCCTTGGATGGCACATGTTTGACATCCAACGTGCCACCCCACCTGCTCCACCAGGAAGGTCCTGGCTGCTTCCCCAGAGAAAGGGAGAATGTGTTTTATCCAGTGCAAACAAAACATTTACAATAATGGGATCTAGCACCCCAACCAAAGAACTGCATCATTTTCTAACGTTTAAATCATAGTGCAATGGTACCATGATTTTGAAGTGCAGCTGAATTTGCTCTTCTGCTCTAGCCACCAGATTAAGCCAATCGAGAGCTTTCATTTAAAATGTAGTAACACAGCCTGGGTTAAACATGTTCAAGCCACTGATTTTAGTCGGTGACAACTTTAGATTTTAATATAAGTTACATAAAGCCACTTCTAGAGAACAGGTATTCTGTGCGTCACAAACTTTCCAGCTTCCAAGTGCTTCATTTTCTAATTCAGATTACTGGAAAAATACTGTTTTTTAAAACTTCAGATGGCACCTGAGCCCCTGCATGCCTAAAGAAGGATAAATAGCTTTACCTCAGTTATGAACAAATTTGAATGCAAGATCTTACCATTTATACTTGAAAGTAGCTTCGTAAAGGTATTTTCCCTTGATTTCAAAAGGATAAAAGTCTAGTTCATAGGTAAAAAAATCTCCTCATGCAACATCTACTATCACATGCTGCATCCACTTCCACAGTGCGATAAACAGTGGACATTTCAATATATAATATACAAACTGAAATAACCAACTGCACAAGAAATAAGGAAAAATCTCCTCCTCCAAACACAACACTGCTTCCTGTAAAGGTATGCAGAGCATGCAGAGATCACCAGGCAGAGCTTAATTTATATCTTAAGACAGGTTATATATCATACATTTTAATATCTCTATATCATACATTTTAATATCTCTATCCCTAACTTTTTATTCTTAAACCAATTTAAGAATAAACAGCGATAATAGCTTTTCTGCTCCTTAAATGGTGCTTAAAAGTTTATTCTAGACAACAGACAGCTTCCTATCTATTTCACTAGGTTTTTTAGCTAGACCCATGCTGTCAAAAATTTGCTGAGCTGTTAAAATTGTACCAGAATAAATAGGCAATAGATAATTATTATTCCAATAAATAAATAGACCTTGCATTATCTTAAAAGCTAGTCAGGATTTTATCTAGTTAGTATTAGATGGATGAAAACACCTTGATAGAAAGGAATACCTTGCTTGAATTATTTTGAAAGATTTTACGCACTCAGTATCTTTACAGGTGGTTTATACGACTGTTGTGCTCTACGTGTGAATTGCTATTTGTTACCTAAGTTTTATACTTACTTTCCTCATTCACTGGGGCAGCAATGAATGCAATAACAAATCAATAGTCTGCCATCAATTTGCTATGTACCAGCAGTGTCAGATCTCATAATCTGAACAAGAACAGGACTGGAAAACTTTCAAACAGGTGTGTTTTAATGGTCTGAACCATAGCTACTAGTTTAGCCCTCAGGACCACATTATCAGGTGAGACGGGACCACCAGAGGTTATCTCTTCTTTCACTACCTCCTCTAAAGGTAGGATCAAATATACACAAATGATTTCTGAGTGGTGTTTCTCCCACCTATTCTTAAAAACCTCCAGTGATTTTATAGCCCCAAAAATCTATTTCAGCCCTTCAGTACCCTTACTGCGAGGAAGTTTCCCCTATTTTCAAGCCTAAGTATTTCTCCCCTGCCGTGGAGAGATAAGATGCCCCTTAGAAATACAATCCACTACTTCATCTCCGACTTACCACAAAAAATTAAATTTACTTTTGTTCTACTCCTTTCCAGGTTGTGCAAATGCTTTCTGGAGAACATAGGGACTGATCACCATGGAGTGTAGTGCACCTTGTCATCCAACATCGTTCATTCCCCACCACCCAGGCAGCACAGTAGGTCACATACACCTGTTCTACTGCCCCATGCATCACCTCAACCAATGCATTTGAAACAGTGAAAAGATGTCAAAATGCAAGCTTCATCATGAGGCCAAGAAATGCAGAATTAAAGTTTCCATAACAGCTCATTGGTGCTTCTCATGAGGCTACTTTTCCTCAAGGTCTTCTGTGCTATAATCACATAGCACTAGGCAATTTACTTCCTACCCATTAAGAAGCTTTGGAAAAACCTGTCTTTTCGAAAGCAGCAGGTGGAAAAGCAGTTCAGCAGTCGTCACAATCACGTCACGATTTCTACAGCACTTTTACACTGAATGAAACTCAGCTCTGGCTACACAACTTTTAACCCAATCCTCCAAATGTGACCAGAAGCACCGGTGTCTTCCTGATTTCATAGTGCTGGTTGAAGCAGCAGCAGAGTAAAACTGATAAAAATTTAGCCAGTGCCTCTCTTCCTACTCAGAGCCCCTACAGGCAAGAATGAAATTACTGAAAATGGCGTTAAATTCATGCTGTAACTACTCAGGACAGCTACAGGCCACAGCAAGGAGCTGTTTTAGAACAGCTCTTAGGTAATAAACATGGCCCAGGAAAAGAACTTGAAGTAAAATAAATAAATAAATAAATAAACAAGCAAACACAAGCAAAGTTTTGTTGACTATGTTAGCAGCTTGAGGTCTGATGAAGTCATCACAGTTTCTTCTCTCTCTCTCAGTTACTACCCTGAAAGCATGAAACTGAAATCCAGTTCATTACCAAGGAGTCCTATGTCATGTGCACGAGCCCATTTTTTAACACAAACAGCTAATTAGTAATTTGTGGTAGTGTTGAATAGCTTTTGTTTTATAAAGAACAGCAGCTCTAGAGAAAAATCCCAGCAGACAGAAATAACTTCAGATGTGTAAGCTGGGGGAAGCAGCATATAATACTTAGTTTCACACAAATATATTAGATACCAAGTTATTGAAATAGAAGATGAAACTGCAGCAAATACAATTCTGATAAAACACAAGAAAATCAGAGCAGTAATGCTGTTTTCTTTGGTAAGTCCCAAACAGAGAACAGAAAATAGAAGAATGAGCAGTTAAAGTTTACAAAAAGCTAACCACAAGCAGTATTCTTTATAATCTAAAGCAGGCAAATATTTTTCTTTTGTAGAGAACTGGTAAGTGTGCCTGCAAGGGAACAGTAAACATTTCAAGGCCAAAGGGCTGCACAAATGCATTAGTCCAATAGTAAGTATAGAGGACACACGGGCTATCTGCTGAGCCATGCATGAGCTAGTAACACTGACTGTCAAGACTCCCTTATTAAATGATAATAAAAGGCACCTAGTAAGAGATGGTTAAAATCAATTAACTGGAGAAACAGCAAGAGAAATAAGATACGGCAGCCAAACACTTCTCTATTCAGACATACAAAATGACGTTTTCTGCATGTTTAAAAAGCAGAAATGTCATGTTAAACAAACAAAAATTACAATGTTCTTTTAAATCAGGTTAACTCTGCAAGGTATAAAGTACCTGCAGTTCCTGCTGAAACAAAAAGGGACGTGAAGCGAGTCGGCTCTTTGCAGGGTAACCCCCTTTGTTACAACATCCAACGTCAAGAAAAATCTAGGTTAACCATTTCCAGAACGCAGACATTAAGCTGTAATTTTAAACTTTGCTTCTGGCCCAGGGACAGATGTTCTGCAGTCCTCCCTGCTGCCTGCCTGCCTCCATCCTCATGGCTGCACTAACACAACACAATGTCTCCCATGCCAGACTGTATGGGTACACCCCCAATGAAGGTACGAAGGGTAAAAATTGGTCCTTAAAAATACGCTGCACCCTTCATCTTACCTCTCAGTACTGATTTGAGGTTCAGCTTGGCTTGTCGGTGCAGGTCCTCCACACAAGGTGGTCTTGAGGAGGGCAGGAACACGTTTTCCTGCTGGTGCCATGGAGCAGTGTAGTGCACGGTCCATCTACTCTCTTCATCTAGGTTGGAAACAGCTGCAGAGACAGACAATAATAAGAAAATTAAATGCTATTGTAGATAGCTGTATCATGAAACCCCACACGCAAGTCTGTCGCTTATCATCTTAAAACAAAGAAGATTGTTTGCCACCATAGTCCCATCAAAACGCTCTCTAGAACCTCACTTCCGTGACAGTTAAAAACCCTCCTCCCATTTCTAGTCTAAATTTATTCTCCTGTGTTACGTAGTAAACACCTTTCCCTCTTCCTGTGTTTATACTTGCTGTTGTATTTACTGTCAGCTTGCAACTCTGTTTTCCCCTCTCTAGCTCGCAGTCTTCACAAAGGAGACCAGTTTCCCAGTCCCCTGATCCCGCCAGGTGCTGTGCGTTGCAGGATAGCTTCCTCCTGCTCAAGGGTGACCCTGGGAATATGACAGTCACCATGAGAGATTACGACAGGTTCATTTGTATCAGGAAATAACCTTCTCTGACCTCACGCTCGCTCAAACCAGGAACAAAAATTCCAGCAAAGCCAACAAATTAGCTACTTTCCATTGCCGTGAGTGGAAAGCAGATTTGGACAACAGCAACTCCCTGGGCAAACACTGCTCAGAGCACAACAGCACGGAAAAGGGATTGCTCTGGCCACCTCTTCTCAGCCAATACACATGTGAAAATAAAATACCGACACTGCTCAAGTTCAAAGTTCCCTACAGACAGTCTAGTAATGAATCAGCCAAAGCACATATTGCTAAGATTTGTTTATCATTTATGCTTCCCGAGAGACAGCCATTACCTTTTGTTTAAAGTTTATCATCAATAAAAACTTCTACAGGTCAATGGCCTTATCCCTCCACCCTGTAACAACAGGAAAAGGGCAGTTGGGGGTCACGTTTTATGATCCCCCAGGCACCCTTTGGCCTTCAGCCAGCGTGCTGCACATCCTTGCTTTTAGCTCTCCAAAGCAGAAAAAGCCACTGCAGCTGTGCTGCCTCCCAAGCACCTGCCCTGCCGGCACAGCCCTGCCGCGCTGGCCTCGCTACCAGCTCCGCATCTTCCCTTGCTCTCCTTGCTGCCTGGCCACTGCTCCCTGCTGCAGCACCGCTTTGTAAAGTTTGTCTGGTGCCTCCGTGGTAGCAGAGGAGGTGTGTAAACTGAGAAGCAAAATGAAGGCAACAGCCTCCTGTCATCTGAAAAATGACTCTTTCCCTAACAGCATTGTGCATCTGCCAGGATCATTTCACATGGAAATAATCAGTACTCGTTAAAGAAAATAAGCTATGCCTTTTGCTTCAAAACCTAACTGCAGCCTAAAGCTCAATGCCTGTTTTGTCCTAAAAGGACTTGGGGGAGGGGGTGTCTTCACTGCCTTTCCTCACTTTTTAGATTAGCATCAGACCTCGAAAAAGGTTTTTGAAGGCTTTCGACTGGTCTCTTCATCTCTGAGGTGGCTTGGTCCTGCATCCCCCTCCCCTCTCGCAGACATACTGGCTGCAACAAGGCAGACACACGTTCAGTCTGTGCCTGCTTCTCCCATCCTTGCCAGCTGGAGCTCAAACCTAAATCACAACAAACTGACAAGTCACCACCTACCTGGTTACGGCATCAATCATCCCGATATTACAGAAAAAGTGATAGGTATAGTCAACCTGCCCGAAAAGCGCCCCTCACCATCCCCTGGGTGAGCAGGCGGGCAGGGAGGGGAGTAAGGCTGGGGGAGGAAGAGGAGGAGGGAGGTATAGTCAACCTGCCCGAAAAGCGCCCCTCACCATCCCCTGGGTGAGCAGGCGGGCAGGGAGGGGAGGGGAGTAAGGCTGGGAAGAGGAGGAGGGAAACAGCAGCCTCCAGCCCACTACCTGGCTGTAGTCCCGCCATACCAAAATTAAAGTTTACTGCTCATCAGAGCAACAGTCATCAAAACTAGTCGACAGAAGTGCTGCGCATATTTGCAAACGACTCTCTCTAGCGCGATTTGTCTGTCTTCATGAATCAAATGGAGAATCGTGATTTCAAAAGCCATGCTGAAACTAGAGCATCTTTAAGCAGCGCAACTTGGCTCAGAACAAGCCTTACAGACACAAGCCCACAGCTAGACATGCGCTCAGCAGCTGCACAAGCAGAGAGAGCTGTCTGACAGGCGCTGGGAGGCCGCCCCAGCACACAGCCGGACACCTGTGCCCGACAGCAGGTGACACCGGCACACTCAGCCTTGTCACCGAGCTGCTTCACGCCGAGAAGTCTGGCTCCTTCAGAACCACCGCGACAAAGGACTTCAAAAGCAACACAGTATCCCAAAGCAGAGGTCCGAAAATGCTTCGTAAGGCTGCCTCCCCACGTTACAAAATACTCAACGGAGAAGAGAGCGAGATCAACTTTAAAAGGGGCATCAGGAAAGCCGGAGCAAAGCCAAAGGGACTTGCACTTTCCTGAGGGACTCGGCTGCCTCCCGAAAGGACAGCGAGCACGCACAACTACTTACTCTTTCTCTTGAAAAGTTTCATGAGAGATTTAAGCTTTGTGTTGATGAAAACCACCATTTTCAAGGTGTTGAACTGCGATCCTGCAGTTTAAATCCCATAAAAAAGGAGGAGCTGCAGAAAGGTGACTGTTTTCCAGAGTGAGCCTGTTCAAACTGCACACCAAATTTCTCCTCTCCAGGCTTCTCCCCCTTCGCCTTTCTTCCCTGAAATCACAACTTTAAATCTGCCTAGATCTTCCTGATGCACGAAACCATTTACAATTCTTTAGCCTGAATTTCTCCTCCTCACATGTAACCTTGTGGGCTGAAAACAGCCAGTTTCAACATGCAAAACAGCAGGAGGAGGGGGGGGAAAACAGCCAGTTTCAACATGCAAAACAGGAGGAGGGGGGCAAAAAAACCCCAACACAACCCAACAGTTAATCGTTATTCACGTTTGCACAGGACCAAAAATCAGGCTCTCCTGCTGCCCATGCATTTACTACTCAGTTCTTCTTCTCATCCTTTCCTCCGCTCTCCAAGTTTGGCTACTCCAGAAAGACCGAGTTTGCAGGTGCCTTCTCTCCTTCCCGTCGCGCCGGCCGCCTCCGCCGGCGGAGCAGAGGGAGGTGCCGGCACCTTCCCCCCCCCTGCCCCGCCCGCCCTTTGCACCTCCCC